TACACTGGGCGTGACAAAGAGACCGTTGCAAATTATTGTGTCAGTACTAGGGGTGTGCAATATTGACTAAAAATAATATCTCAATATTTTCTGTGATTTTATCAATAAAGATAATTATACGATATTTTGCTGAGTGTGTTATTGTGCTGATATCTCAAGGACTACCGTGGACAGCTGACTCCTAAAGTTTTTGAAATATTATATATTTTGTGTGGTCAGTTCACATCAGTGATAGAAATGAAGCTTTTCCAATAAATTTAAATAGATTTTTACCTTTTATGGAAATTTTTACCTTTTATAAAGCAATTTTTTTCTAAAAGTGTACATCATCTTTTGAGTCAAATTCTTACATTTAATCAGGCAATTATAATAATAATACATTTAGGCTGTTACTAAACAAATGAAATCAGTATCAATAAAATTCATCTTTGCAGAAGTTGCATATGAAGTGGCATTTAGATGCATTTACACATGTTAATGCAGCTCAGAGGGACATGGGATGCTTTAACCTGCAGTTACAAATGCATGAATAATGTTTTGATATTTTAAACATGAAATGTTGAATACTGATATTTGAAATTATTTAAAAAATGAAAAGAATGTTTGGAATGTTTTTTGTTGGTGAAATACCACAGAAATAGCGCAAAAACAGCCAATATGGTGTCTAAAACGTAAGTCTCTTGATATTAACTTATTGTTTATTAAACTGTTGTATAAAATCAATATCACATTTGTAACCATGCTGATTTTTTAAAGAAAAAACGGCACTCTTCGTGTGATATTGATTAACTATGTGAATAGATATAACTATATAAATTTTCTGCCTCCTTATCTTGAAGTATGTGATCATTGTTAATGCATATTAATAGACTGAATCATGCAGTGAAAGAGTGCACTCTAAATGCGCACGCGCACTAAAGCCAGTGTTGGTCTACTCTAACCAGACTTCATCACGTCGCGTATGTGTGCCTCTGTAGGTGTGTTTTGTTTGTTTTTTGCAATATACTCGATAATGTCATGATGTCTCACGAGTTCAGTATTTGCGCTAAACCTGCGCACACAGTACATATACATATATAATATATACATTAATACATATAATAAAACTTGCTTAATAAAAGCTTTCTTTGTTTATTGTGCATTATTTTCAACATGTCACTACTTTAGTGTGGCAAAATAGAAGCACTGCCGTGCAATGTATCTGGTTGCCATGACAACCTCACTCATTTGAATATGGTACACAGAGTGTGAATTTGTAGATTTACTATAGCAAAACTAAAATGTGTTTAAAAGTGTGACTGACGCTTGTTATAGTGTCGTAAGTCACATGATAACATCAACATGGCGGATGATGTCTGGATCGCATTCATACTTAATGGGATTTGGCTGTTGAGCACATAGTCTTTTAGTGGCAGCTTCTCCACAACAACGTTACAGTTTTTCACTGGCATGTCTCTTTGACTCTAGTGCATCTTTGAGCTGTATTTAGTATAAGTAAAATACTTAAGTACTGTTAAAATCAGATACTCTAAGACTTTTACTCAAGTTGTTTTGGAATTGGTGACTTGTAACGTGTAGTGGAGTAATTTTCACTGTAAGGTATCTGTACTTTTACTCAAGTATGGTTTTTAGGTACTCTTTACACCTCTGGTGAGAGGTAAGAACTTATTGAAATGAAGTACCTACTCATTGAGAATGCGGTTTCGGACACAGCCACTGAACCTGGATCAATCAAATTAGTGAGACTGCGTGAAATTTAATTGTTGTTTATGAAACAACTTTAGTCCCGATTGATTTGTTAGGTTATTTCAAGTCAGGATGTGAAATATTCGCTTTTCTTTGCAAACTTCCTGAAACAGGCCCCTGGATTACACTAAGGCTGGTAAGGACTCTAGCCGCTGCATTTTGGACTACCTGTAGCTTGTTTATTGAAAATCTGCTACAGGCAGGTGAGTTTTTTTTTTCAGGGTTGGAGGTAAACTCCAAGAGTCCTTAGCCATCTTCAAAAAAACTACTAAAAACACATCTGTTCCATCTTTATTTGACCCTCTAACTCTAGCACTTTCTATTCTATTTTAATTCTACTTTATGTATTTATCTTTTTTGTTTATGGTAGAAGACTAGTTAGGTACGCAGGAGCTAACCCATTAAGGGCCTTATAGGCAAGTAATAATATTTTGTAACTGATACAGAACTTAACAGGTAGCCAGTGCAGAGACTGTAAAATTGGGGTAATATGATCATATTTTCTTGACCTGGTAAGGACTCTAGCCGCTGCATTTTGGACTACCTGTAGCTTGTTTATTGAAAATCTGCTACAGGCAGGTGAGTTTTTTTTTTCAGGGTTGGAGGTAAACTCCAAGAGTCCTTAGCCATCTTCAAAAAAACTACTAAAAACACATCTGTTCCATCTTTATTTGACCCTCTAACTCTAGCACTTTCTATTCTATTTTAATTCTACTTTATGTATTTATCTTTTTTGTTTAAAAACACTAGCTTTCAATTTTTTCTATTCTATCTACTTGTTTTTCTTTGTGTGTGTGTGATCTGACAGCAACAGCGTATTTTTCTGCTTGGGCGAGCGCTTTGCGGACAGTTTACCTCGTGCATGAAATCAGCCACATGACAGCAAAACACTGAGAACGCGCTACAATCCTGACGAGTCATAGCGACAGAGCGGAGGAGACAAAGCTGCGGAGAATCCGCTCGCCCGGAAGCAACCGCAACTGACTTAGATTTACAGAAAATTACCGTTGTTTTCAAAGAAATAATTTTACATGCTTATTCACAACACTTTATTAAGCTTGAAGTCACATCTCAAATGACAAGGGATCAACTTATAATATAATCAACCATATTCAAGTCCGGATTTACAACATATGCATTTTATGCATAAAATTTCACAGTGAGACAGAAGTTTTAAATCAACATATGGATTGGAGTGACTCCTCTATACAATCAAAATTAGAGAGTGTTTACTGCAACCACTAAATTTTTGAAACTGAGGAAAAGACGACTGGTGTGAAAGAAGGTCATGAAGGTGGGAAGTAAAATTTGGACAAAATGCAAAGAATTGTTTATTACACTGGTCACAATTAAAGGTGAATCTTCATGTGGGAATTAAGGGTGTCTTTACGTCTGAAACTCTTTCCACACTGACCACATGTGAACAACTTCTCTCCAGTGTGACGGTTCATGTGATACCTAAGGTTTAGTTCTGCTGTGAAACTCTTGCCACACTGATTGCAGGTGAACGGCTTATCTCCAGTGTGACTGTTCATGTGTTTTTTAAGGTTTCCTTTATGAGTGAAACCCCTTCCACACTGTTGGCAGGTGTAAGGCTGTTCTCCAGTATGAATTCTCATGTGGTTTCTAAGGCTTGCTTTTTGAACGAATCTTCTTCCACATAGTTTGCAGTTGAAAGGCTTTTCTCCAGTATGACTTTTCATGTGAGTTTTGAGGATTCCTTTTTGAACGAAACTATTTCCACACAGTATACATGTGTAAGGCTTCTCACCGGTGTGAATTCTACTGTGTCTCTCGAGGATTGCTTTTTGAATAAAACTTTTTCCACACTGAGGGCAGGTGAAAGGCTTCTCTCCAGTGTGAATTAGCTTGTGTTTGTTAAGGTTTCCTTTTCTGTTAAACTTTTTTCCACAATGTTGGTAGATTAAATAACTTCCATTTGCTCTTTTTTGTGACGTTGTTTCAGTCTTTGAGCAACTAAATGACTTTTCCACTTTCAGTAGCATCAGGTCTAAGGGAAAAAAGACAAATACAGATTAACCCCAGTTTAATGGCATAAAGCAACAAACATCAAAACAAACAACATGTTTGTTAGATACTGTACATATTAAGCTACTAAACTATGTAGTTCATTTGATTGCAACTACATCTTAATTTTAGTGGTATTAAATCTTTTCACAACATAAACCACAAATGCCAACATAATTCTCAAGATGTCTGAGAGAATGTTGTAGTCTAAGTCCTATTTGACCACAAACATTTTGTTCATGTAAATTGAGACACCTCATCAAATACAAGTATGGCGTGTCACAAGGCTCAGTATTAGGTCCTCTGCTTTTCTCCTGGTGCATCCCCTAAAAGACATTATTTCACTGTTATGCCGTGATACTCAGTTTTATATTGCTTTACAACCTGAAAAAACTTCAAGTCTCTAAGATGGCAGGATGTATTACAGTTTTTCTCAGTCGCTTAGGTGCATTTCTTAGATCAGAAATTAAATTCTCATAACTACTCCACATCAACTAGTCACTTGTGCACATCATAAAAGCAGTTTCTCATTCTTTTGAACAAGTTGTGATTGCTTTGGTACATTCATGCAATTGATTATGTACGTTTGTCTGCGATTTCCTACATTATCAGTTGCTAATGTCATGTTTCAGTCTTACCCCTCAAAACCAGTGTTAATTTTGACAGCAAATTTTGATTTGGTTTTAGTCTCGTTTTAGTCAACTAATTATCATAAGATTTTAGTCGGCTAAAATCCAATAGGTTTAGTTACAGTACATTTATTAAGCATTTCTCTAAAATTTCCAAACTCATATAGGTTTGATATTAAGGTTTTATCATGATAGACACCGATTTAACTGCAATGACATACAACATGCCTTTATGTTAAAATGACATAAAACCACTTCTCATAAAGAACAAGGCCTTCTTTTTAATGAAATAGGCTACCAATGGTTATATAGGCTAATTATGCATTCTTCATAGCAACTTGTTTACCATATTCTTCATCAAGCAGACATATTTATTTCTATAAATAAATTTAGATTAATTTTTAGGGCTACTAAAGTTTTTCAGTCAAGAGCAGTGTGTGATTTTCTGTCTTTCTGTTGTTGCTTGATTAATATCAATGACTCGGACAATAGCAACTAAATTAGCCTTTAAAACCAAATGCACAGCTGCAATGAATGCAATGCACTGATACATGTTCTCCCTACTGTTTACATTCACTTAAGACGTAATTAACTGTGTTTACGTCAATACTCGTCAAAATGGACAATTCAACACCATTTTGTGTGTAATTCTCCGTTCATGCGACGTGAAAGAGTACTTGCACGCTGTGAGAGGCGCTTTCTGTGTGTGTATGCTTCAGTGTCTGCACTCTGAAAACCTGACGACGCAAGAGAGAACTCAATTCGGTCAGATTTATCCATATGTCTGCTCTTCTCTTACTCCCACATATTAAATTTTTTTTACATTTTATGCGACGTGCAGCAAGTGTATGTTAGCTTATGTCCCGCCGGTTCATGTGTGTGCATCTAACCTCTGAACCACGCAGCAGATTCCTTCTGAATGAATCTCTTCCCAAATCGTCCCTCCCTAACATTTTCATCTCGTTTTTATTCATTGACAAAAATGTCAATAGATTTACATCATAGTTTTTGTCATTCAAAATAGTTTTAGTTAGTTATCGTGTCGTTGTTGTTGGTGAAAAAAATGTAGTTGACGAAAATTATCCGTCAATGAAATTAACACAGCTCAAAACATCTAGTCATTACTTAATTGTACAAGTCATTAAATGCAAAATGGTTGATCTAGTTGTCATAAACAACTTTTCTATATCCCAATGACGGTGTAATGTGTGTTTATTTTTTTTCTCGGACCACTAGTAAAAGTGTAATTGAATCCTATCTTTCAATCAATCTTGTTTGTGAACAATGACACAAGCACTTTACATTCTAATGGCACTGATATGTTTATTGACATAAATACTCAAAATCTTAGTTCATCTCTCAAAAGTAAGTAAGTTAAAAGGCACGTGCCCCCTCAGATTTCTAAGCCAAGTGGATTTTGAATGCAGCTTCCAAAAGACAAAAAATAGCAGAATAATATTTTCTATATTTGATACAATCACACCATCATGATTAAATCGTTTAGCGCGTCATATCAGCTTCTAAAATTCAAATCTGCGTTCGCTGGCGCGGAGCGTTTTTTACAGCACTGCGCATTAACCAATCACACGCGATGCTGTTGAGCTTATGAATGCAATGACCAATCAGAGGTGTTCAGATGAGTCATCGCTAAAATGCCGGTGTTTTCTTCACTCACTCACCGTCTGAATACCTCTTTCTGGTGAATTCTCTCGTTAGAAACAACAAACTACAGATGTGTGTATGAATCTGTAAGATACTCATTTCACAGTGTAAACAGCTTCAGTGATTTTAATGGGAGTTTATGAGAGTGCTTGAACTCTAGACTGTGAAAATATTCATTGATAATGTAAATGTTCTTTGCTCTCTTTCTGTACAATGAGAGTGTTATGATAAGTAGCCTAACTTTGAAAGTTAATATGAATAAAAACATTGTCTATGTTAAATTCACATTAAATATAAAGTCAGTCGTATTAAACCCTTAACTGTCACCGTCCCACCTGTGGGACGTTTGGCATTCTCTTTTTTTGTTTGTCCTTTTTCTCTATCAAATCTTTTAGTAATCATCATAAATTATATATAATTTGAAAGATTAGAAGCCCAAGATTCATCCTGTGAAAACCATTTTGAAATCAGACATATCGTTACCGTGGAAATGGTACTTTAAAATCTTTTGTCGGTCTCCTCCCCCTTAGTGGGCGGCATCGAGTGTCATATTACAAAATGTATTACGGTATTTTACAATAAAAACTTTTTATAATTTTGACAAAATACATATCTTCTGAGGTCTGAGTCTCAGGATTCCGTATGTGGTGGTTATTTTGAGATAGAAGTAAGATTTACAGAGAAATCTAGACATTTGTGACAGAAAAATGCATTAAAAAATTAAATGGAGTTTTGATGGCACCCGGTGGCTGTTTGTGGTATAACGCCCTAAATAAAATCTCACAGAAACCTAAATTGTTTTCATATCAACTTCAAATTTGGAACATAACTTATTTAGACACAAGGCTTTATTTATATTTTATACCAATTTTAGAGTAAAACCATTTATGTATAATATTTACTATATATAAAATCAAATAAAATTAGTATAGCGCATTTTCTTTACAGTAAATTTAAACGTCTACAACTTTTTGATACTTGAATTTTTTGAAAAAATGTCACTTTTGCTTCTTTAAAAAGAGACCAACCTTAGGTCTGTATTCCAAAGTGTTCATAAATTACAACAATTTAAGTTTGGATAGTGCACTTTATTGCCTATTTAAAAAAATGGGGGGGTGACAGTTAAGGGGAAACAGACAGGTTTTTATGTATAGTTAATAGACTACATTATTAGGCTACTTTGACCATCGCCCACTATCAACTAGCATAATCGATAAAGGTGAGAATCAAGATATTTAATGATATAGTTAATGCATTTGGGAATGTTTCGAATAAAAAGGAAAAAATAAATAAAATGAGTGCTATTTTGGCAGTGCCCATGAGCTCCTCTAGAGGGCACTCCATCCCAGACCTTTGCCAATGTTTCACGGACTCCATTTCCCATAACACCCCACACCTAGGAACTGATTGCACCCTTGTTTCCAATCAGGAGGACTATTTAAGCTGTACACAAACACTCACATTGCAAAGTCTTGTTCAGCTGTAAGCGGACTCTACTGAGTGTATTTCCATCTTTTCCTGCCTTGTTTTTGCCTTGCCTGTTTTTTGGGCCTTGGACTGTTTCTCTGGTTTTTGTGATTGTTTGCTGCCTGCCCTGACCATTGCTTGTTTCTTGGATTACCCTTTGCCTTGCCTTGGATTCTGTTGTTTGCTGGTGTTCGACCCTGCCTGTCTTGATCACGATCTGTTTTAAAGAAAGCTTGCATTTGGATCTTCTTTGTCACGCCCTGTCCGTTACACCACTTTACATACAGTTTTAACGTTATTAATATTTAATTTAGGTACACCTCTTTGATTTAGTGGTGATGAAGAGGTATTTGAGTCTTATTGATGGTGCTGTGATAGTACTTACAATTAAAAAGCTTGGGAAAAACTGGCCTATAGCAGGTAAAAATCACATATATCCCTTATACGTTATGGGTGTAACCCCATATTCTGCAGTGGTGACCATAAAAAGACAATTTCCATCAACATTTTATGCTATAAGAACAGAATACAAAATTACTCCTAGTGATTCTTCAGAAATATCATTCATGTCTGTAGAGCTGAACATTTGAATAAGAATCAAATGAGTGAGTTCAGCTTTGAGAATGAAAACCAACCTGTTTGTTCCGCAGTATCTTCATGTTTGACTCTGAACGCTTCTTCAATCTTCACATCTTCACTCTCCTCTTTAATAAACGCCATCTGTTGATGAGAATAATTATAGAAATAAAATACTAGTCCAAACTAAATCTCTGGGTGCGTCTCAATCAGCTCTAGTTCTGTACTCAACGCACTAGTAAGGGAGTCAGTGAGAGTTAATGGACTTTGTGCTCAGACCCCAGAAAAGGACCAAGTGTGAAAACACCCTTATATTCTGCATCATTTTACAGTTTTTGTCAATGTTTCTAAAAAAAAACATCCTAATTTTAGGGCTGGACAATATGACGATACATGATACAGGTGATCACCCAGATTTAGACCTACCCGTATTGTATAAAGCGTTCACAGGCAAATTTGCTTTATGTATTTCCCGGCGTCAAAATCAGGCACATATAAATGTAATTAAACACGATTGCTGGCCACATGTCAACATCTATGGATCACTTGTTCTTTGGTAACTTGTAAGGAACACTATCATGCCCATCTGCCTTTAACTTAAACTGATAATCATTTGTTTTACTCGCGTTTTCGCAGTTTCCCCTATTAA